ATTATATGTATAGATATTAGATAGATATATTGTATATAGATCAATAATATATTTTTTTTTTAAATATTTTACTTAAAAAAATATTCTCGTCAAAACTATGAATTAATTAATTAATTATTGACTCATACTAAATTATAGATACAACATAATAATTATTATTGAATTATTAATGAACGTTATACACTAGCTATTAGATAATAAGAAATCTACAAAATGGTCAATTAGACTTTTCTCAAACTGGTAAAGTGTTAAGGAACTTGATTTACGGTATCTATAGAAGATCTTAATCTATATCTACATATAATAAAATTGTAACTGAGTCGAATCTGTACATGAAATATTTTTTTAGAAAATCTTATTGAAATAGTAATTATTATCGATACAGAGACCGAAACTACAGTTTTTAGATTTTTTGTCTGTCTGTTTGACTATCTATCTGTCTGTCTGTGACCGCATCACGAGAAAACCACTGGACAGATTTTGATGAAATTTGGTATGACGATAGCTGGTTATCTGGATCAACATATTATAACAGGGCACGTTTTACTGCGGGAAAATATGTCATCTCTAAACGTTAAAAGGTAACCCGAGCGGATCGAGGTTGAGTCGCTAAATTAAAATCAATAATAATATTTATAAGTGCCTTGCTCTCTTTTCGCTCAGGTGCGCGCCTTTACGTGTTTTTCCGGCTTGATACAAAAACATGTGTTTTTTAATTAAAATATTAATAAAATTTAAACGCATTCATTTTATGGAAAACCACTTAACAAATTTTACTAACAGTAGGCTCTATTTAATTCCAACTCTCGCCTATCTGTGTACTTAATTTTATCCAAATCCGTTCAGGTAAGTAAGGAGTAACAAACAAACACACATAGAAACTTTCGCATGTATGGATAGATATTGTGATCTATTTTGGACAGGATAAACATAAAGGACTACACGACTCTATCTCGGTAATTTTTATATTTTTTTATCTTTCATTACTCTACGGGGTGTACTTATATTGTATCCTAAATAATAACTAAACTTTTGAGATTTTAAATTTCTTATCTTTTTTTAAGCTTGAAGCCTTCTTGTAATAAGCTTATATTTATCCTTTAACCGTGTCAAATGGTATCATATTATATGTATGTAATGTGGTCCGTACAATATTAGTATAAGCGCATTAACTTTCGCCAGTTCTTCTCAGGTCTGAGGCTTCTTCTTTCCGAACTGGTAGTAGACTCATGACGTTCAGTAAAAAATTGTAATAATTTAATGCTGAATAAAATATTTTGAATTTTTTTTTGTTTTTTTTTTTGAAAAAAACTTGTTAAAGGGCTCATCAAGTATAGTATATTATTTAAATGTCCATCTGGTGCCTCTTTTTCGTTTTTGTAACATCCCACTGCTGGGCACGTGTCTCCCAATACGAGGGCCATAGTTCACCACGCTGGCCAAGTGCGGTTTCGATGTCTTATTATGCCTATCTGTTCAAGTATTATCAATATAGCGATTAAAGCATTAAAAAATTAAAAACAATAAAGTTTTATTTATTTTTGCGAAACGCTGACGATGATGACGTGTAATATCTCATTAGTTTCCAAATACTCTCGTGTAGTTGTCAGACCGGTATATTCCGGCATTATATTTTCAAACCGGCTCAGTTATCGTTAAACGAGTATGTGTAATACTCGTATAACACAAAAAACATTAAAAAATAAAACTACATAAATGCATACATAATGTAACACGAATACTTGAAAAAATATTTCTCTTTTCGTAATTTTTTAACATATCTTCAAAGTTTTTACAATGACGCTACGGAAACTCATAACATTTCGTCGCTACGTATTTCAATATCACTATAGTTGAAATCTTTGTTTGTCTTACCCGAGGCTGACTCATAAAGCCATTATTTTTATTATTTTAGATATGAGCGAATACATAACACAAATAACTCGGTCATTTATGTTGCTACATTGTTAGTCTAATGGAAAGTATATACGATTGTATATCTGGAGGTCCTGGGTTCGAACCCCGGATCGAGCCGTCATTAGGCTTTTCTGCCAAGAACCTTTTAGTAATAGTCTCATACATTCACTAAAATTACTGGACGGATATAGATGTAATTCAGTATTCGGATAGCTGATAGACTATGAACCTGGAATCACAACTAAACTATCGCCCGACACCTCAGCGAATGGTAAGTCGCTAGTAATAAATAACCTCAATAAAAGACATATACGAAATCTTATACATATGTAAACAAAAAAAATATACTAATTAAGTTAATGTAGTTGACCGATTCCAAACTGATATAGTTTTTGCTCTATTCACCCTCTCGTATATTACACATAATGACCACTGTAGATATGTTCCACAAAAACGTTTCAATTTACGTTGTAGTAGAATTAAACTCATCTATCACAGTCACGTTCTCGGTTTACACGCCGGCTGCAGCCATTACGTAGCGAGCGCGGCTTGGCAATGCAGCGCGTTAGAGAGACATAAAGACAGATCTAAATATCTGTCTAATAATAGGTAGCAGTCATTGGAAATCATTTCAACTGTCAAATTCATGCGCTAGTTTATTGTTAGTAGATTGTCATTATTGTTTTGTGCAATTAGATTTTATTTCCTTTCATGTATGAGCTATTTAGTTCACAACCACTGTATATTGTAATATTATCACTGAGAAAAAGAGAGTATCTACCACTAAGTTTTCACACATTTTGAACCAGACTCTGGTCTGAATGTCGTTAATTTTAGGATAATTGAATTTTATATTTACTTTTTCAATAAATATAAAACAAAAAGGTATAATATGTTACTTGCAAAATTATAAACCTAAATTCTTTTTCTAAAATAAAAAGTTTTTAACAAAAAAATAAAAACCGACTTCAAACAAAAGCACTAAAAAGTAAAAAATAACTGATTGATAGTTTTCATTTACTATACATACCTAATCAAATATTTTCGAAGTCGGTGTGCTTTGCTTTGTATGGGCTGGCACCGATTTCGAAAATATTTGATTAGGTATGTATTTAATAGGTAGGCTTTAATTACTTAGCCAAAGCACACCGACTTCGAAAATATTTGATTAGGTATGTATAGTAAATGAAAACTACCAATCAGTTATTTTTCACTTTTTAGTGCTTTTGTTTGAAGTCGGTTTTTATTTTTTTGTTAAAAAGTTTTTATTTTTCCCTTTTTAGTGTAGACAGTAGTAGCAAAGTAAGGATTCTAACGTGTTAGGCTTGTCAAATCAAACAAAATAAGCCCAAACTCAAAGTATCTACTATTAGCCGTTGAAGAGTTCCACGTATCCACCTTCTGACCTTGCCATCAGATCAGGTCAACAACACCGAACCACTGTACTATCAACGAAAATAGAAATACTTGCAAAGTTTCAAGTCAATATGACAATTAGAAGTAGGTTAAATTCATTATTAGTTGTTTTTCCACCCTTAGGGGTGGTATTTTTTTTTTAAATTTAAATGGGACCAATCTGGAGGTATACCCTTTCAAGCAAAACAAAAATTGTCCAAATCGGTTAATAAATGACGGAGTTCTGAGGTAACAAACATAAAAAAAAAAAAAAAAAAATCATACAGTCGAATTGAGAACCTCCTCCTTTTTGAAGTCGGTTGATAAAAGTAGCCTATATTACTCCCTATAGCATCAGCTATCTTCCAGTGTAAGTCCCGTCAAAATCAGTCCAGCCGTTTCAGAGATTATCCGGAACAGACAGGCAGACAGACAAAAATAAAAAAAAATGAGTTTTTCTAATAAGTACCGTATATAATGTCATATGCATTTAGTAAAACGCTGTTATTTTGACATTACAAACAGACACTTGAATTTGAACATCGGGGCTTTAAATAGATAAACATAGTTATTTTAAGTGTACCTTAGGAGATAAACATATTATGTACATATGTTATTACGGACTTTTTTGTAGGCCTTTTTAAGACCTACAATTTTCTAGTACATTGTTTTGTTGTATCTCATAAGATTTAGCCATGTTAGTTTCTACGGATGACTCGACAGACCCTGTTAATATATTTTACCATGGGAAAGAAAGATTTTCCTGTAACATATATATATATATATATACATATATATATATATATATATATATATATATATATATATATATACAAACAAAGGGACCAAAATTTTCAACTATTGTTTTGATGTCATTGTTCTTAAAAATATGTCATGTACCCACATACTTACAAATTTCGCCTTGTCTATTAAATGTATAGATTATATAATTGCTACTTTTCACTTAAAAAAAGTACACTGTCTTCAAAATCACTTTCACCTTTAGGGATAGCATTTTTGTGAAATATTCGAGATCATCCTTGTACATCCATACATTATAAATTATCAAATACGATTCACGATTGGCAAATATAATATCGCATAGCATACAATATAACAAAACGTCGTGCCGAATTGAGTACGTTCTTTTGACGTCAATAAAAAAGTTGTTCTATTGACTCGCCTTTTTTTTTTTTTTAACGTTGGGAAATGCATTTACGCACGACGTGTGGGACTCACCGGCGTAATACAGCCAGTACTACCCACTAAAACCTTCCCCCGTCTTAATGGGGCGTCGCAGGATCGCTTACGCATTCAACTACGACGCCCCGACGGCAGGTCTGCCGAAGCAGACCACCACAACCATGGGGTTGCTCCACAGTCCACTCTGCTATCAGAGAAGTACCAGGAGCAACCCGCATGGTACACCGACCCCCGAAGAGGGCCACCTCCCACCGCCCACCGAAGTGGGCAACCTCCCTGTGCGTTTCTTAGCTTCGCTACTGCTACTGAGCCCCCCCACCACGACAAGGTGAACGCACGTTGGGGGGGCCTATTGACTCGCCTGTCCAATACTGATTTAGCAATTTTAATTAAAAACTAAAACTATATCTATATCTATTCACAGGTAACTGAATGTTTTAAAATACATAAATCAAAAAGTATCTATTTTGGGCTGAGTGTTAATAATGAATAAAAAGATTCTCTTCTTATCCTTCGTGATACCCACATACATATTGCTGGACGAAATATGTCTGAAACGCTTCAAAACGGCTTTCTTCAGAATTCTGAAGAAAATGTCTTTATGGTCTGTATTTGTGTACTTTTTATCTGTAAACTGCCTCGGTGGTGTAGTAGCTAGCATGTACGGCTGTACATCCGGAAGTCCTGGGTTCGAGTCCCCGGTCGGGCCAAGTTTAGTTATTGAGTCTTTCTATTTAGTGATCCTCAATAACAGCCTGGAGTTGAGAAGTCGATGGTATTGCACCCCCGTGCCTCGGATAGCACATAAAACCGTATGCGCCTTAGCTCTCACCGGTCGTGTCGAGCGGTAGTCCCACCGGAGCATAAGAGTGACAGGAATAGAGAGCGCACTTGTCTGTTTGAGCGTACACTTGTGCACTATAATATCTCCTGCGCAGTTGGCTAGTCTCAATGAGATTGACCGCCGTAGCCGGAATCGGTCAGAAGAATATTTTTATTATTATCTATAAAGAGAAATAAGAAAAGAATTTCATACACTATGCTTGCTGTCCACCTTCACTCTTCTAAAGATTGAAGGATAGTAGATTTTAATAAAGTATATCAAAACATATTTATATATTAGCTTATTTTTATCTACATAATCTTTAAAGTGACTTATGCAAAAGTTATTGAATACAAAAATAAATCGACGATTTATTATTTATATGGAAATAAGAATTGCAGTGTTCGTAATTCTTTCCAACCAAAATAGCTTAAGCGATTTAGATGTTTTTTTTGTGTATTTGTGGGATCTGTCAGTCAAACGGTATTATTTCAACATAAATGTTAGGCAAATCTGTAAATTGAGAAAATTTGCAAAATTTCCACTTTCGTAAGAAGTTAGTTGCTCTTATTGTAGAAGTGAAGTCGACTGAATGTTGAGCCCGTGCAGGCCGGCCTTTGTGTCATTGCAAAGGACAAGGAAATTCCACTCAGCTCAAACGATCAGTCACAATCAGATTTTATAACTTTTAATACTCAGTCATTTTTATACCTGTTGCTAATTTTTTTGTTGCCAATTACATAAAAATGGATAAAGTCGTTCCATTTAGGTTTCATTTGTAATGTATCAAGTTTTATCCGACTTCAAAAAGTAGGGTCTTCAAAAAGGGGGTCATTTAATTCGGCTATTTTTTTTGTACGTTACGAAAATCAAATCGATAATCTTAATCTTATTTTTAATGAATAGATAATGTCCAAAGGGTGTTTCCGTGTACAATCAAAAAAGGGCACCCCCTGGGGGTGACATATTTCCTTTCAACTTTCTTAAAAAAAGTGTTTATTATTGACGACTACTTAGAAGTATAGGTTGTGAATTTAAATCTGCATTGAAAGAACGGCTTCGGTACCCACATAAAGCAATATATTACGTCTATAGTCAAATAAAATAAGGCAATACATAAGAATAATCTAGATTCATAAGGTCATATCATCATCTTATTTCGCGTCTTCTCTATGCCTTAAATTGTTACGAATTTTGTATAATTTGCAATCGCTAAAAATATTAAAAAGAATAGTGATGAAATTGACATTTAAAATTGCAAATGTATTCAAGTTTCTCACAACATAATACTATAGGCACAGACTAAGGAACAATATTCTAAAAATAACAAAATTAATTCAAAAAATACAAAAATGATATCAAAGTACATAACTTTAAACAATTTTTGAATGATTGATGGAAATCATTCGAAACGTCGGGAACCAAAAATCAAAATAAATCGATGAAAAAATCCGTAAAGATAGTTTTATTTAAAATATCAAATATTGGCGTAAATCTAAAAAAGTATTACTTAAAATATCATTTCACGCATACTCATCTCGCAAATAATAATAATTAATACCTCTCTGATCGGAATGTCCAACGACATGAAGCCAGTTTATGTTTCGGAGCATCTTTCTCCTGCTAACAAAGCACTACATGCGGCAGCTCGTCAAAAGGCTAAAGAATTACAGTGTAAGTTCACATGGGTACGAAGCTGCCGTATTTATGTTAGAAAAGATGAAAACTCTCCATTTATTCATATCAAAAATATGGATAGCGTTAAGTCTATTCGTTAATTTTATTCTACTACATTATTTTTAGCACTAATTTTTAAATATGGCTCTCTCAATATATTACCAAAATATTCGTGGTATGAAAACTAAAATGACTGAGATTTGTAATAATATTATAAGTCAAAATTACGATATCTTATGTCTTACCGAAACTTGGCTTGACAACTCCGTTCTTTCAACAGAATTTTTGGACAAAAGGTATGAGGTAGTAAGAAGGGATCGTGATCTAATTTTTTCAAAACGCTTTAATAAATATCGAGGTGGCGGCGTACTTATTGCTATTTCTAAAAAAAAATTTGATATTAAGCATGAATGGAAATCTGACATACTAGAAGATCTATGGTTACAAATAAAACTAAATAGTCACTGTACCTTAAATTTATGTACTGCATATATTCCAGAATATTTACCATATAATATTTTCGATGATTTTATAAATAAATGTGATGATGATGTTCTCCCGACCGTTTCCGGCCACGGCGGCCAATCTCATTGAGACTAGCCAACTGCGCAGGAGATATTATAGTGCACAAGTGTACGCGCAGACACAAGTGCACTCTCTATTCCTGTCACTCTCATATTCTGGTGGGACGACCACTCGACACGACCAGTGAGAGTTAAGGCGCAGGACCGACGGCTTTACGTGCTCTCCGAGGCACGGGGGTGAAACACCGCCAACTTCCCAACTCCGGGCTGTTATTGAGGCTTTACAGAAAGACTCAATAACTAAATTTGGCCCGACCCGGGACTCGAACCCAGGACCTCCGGGTGTGCAGCCGTACTTGCTAGCCACGACACCACCGAGGCAGTGAAATAAATGTAATAGGGTTGTCAGCATTGTTCCCGACTGTATAACATGTATAATAGGTGATTCGTCAGCCACAACTTTTTAATATATCTTGGGCAACTAATAACGTTTACCAAAACAACCCTTTACACAGAATGTGTAAAACATACAATAGTTTAAATGATGAATACGACATTTTTAATAATAGTTTATTATCGTTCAAGAAAAAATTAAATAAATTATAGTTCTTATTTTACATTTTCGATAACAAGGATATGTTTTCTCTCTGTTTCTTCTCCTTTATCTTTTTTCTTTTCTTTGTCTTTTTTTCCACATGAAATGTAAATATTATTTTCTTTTTGTTTTTTAATATTTCTTATGTACTCGTTACTTTAAATGCACAGACTCATACTGTAATATTCACCTTCTGGTTAAGTTTGTTTTTATAATTATTATATGTTTTTATTTGAATATTGTGTACAGATATAATTGGACAACAAATTTAATATGATATTTTTAGTTTTTAATACGAAGATGTAATTTTTTTAATTTGTTTTCTGTTTCTGTACCTAAATAAATAACATAAAAATAAAATAAATGTGTGTAACAAAATCAAGAATAGTTGCATAACCTACGAATAAATACTTATTATTTATTCGTAGATCAAAAATAATATAAATATAAATATATAAATACCAACAAATCACGCTATTTTTGACTTTGACATTTATTTTAGCGGACTCCGTCTATACACTTAGTTCTTTTTTAGTCTGAGGCTTTAAGTATAGTTCACTTGATTTCAAGACTTAAGTGTTATGTATATCTGACATAATTAAAAGACTTTTTATATGAAAAGAATTGTTTTCCTTGTTGACATCATACAATTAAATTCAAGATGATTTATATGAATAACCTAAAAATCTGTTTTTGATTTTGATGTAGGTAATGTACATCAAAACAGACAAACAGGAAATAAAAAATATATACCATAGGTTTAACGAAGCAGACTTAGATGACAGGTAAAAATAATAGTTTTTATTATAATTTTTTGTTATGAAGACATTTGATCTTTAGGGATTATAAAATATGTTAAAATTGCGAATCGATATTTAAATTATACAAATAAGATTTATTATTATTGAAACGCCACTGAACTGGAAGCCAATAATTAATGAAATATTAACTTCAAAGACCATAAAAAATCGATGAAGTGTGAATCGGACTCGACGCGTGCGGTCTGCAGATAATATAAGTGTATTACGTACTAGCGACTCACCCTCGCTTCGCTTCGGGTTCGTCCCTAGATAAAAACAAATCTATCCCACGGGAACCGGGCTATTATTTAGCCTATAGCCTTCTTCAATAAACGGATTATCTAATGCAAAAAGAATTTTTCAAATCGAATTAGTAGTTCATGAGATCAGCGCGATCAAACAAACAAACTCTGCCTGTTTATAATATTAGTATAGATTTATGAGTTAAAACTTTTGGCGCATGTCAGCTTCACTCTTGGCTATTTATATAATCATACATTTCTACAATTTTCATACAAGTTCGCAGACAATGATCTATGGTCTCTATCACACGTGATAAGAAAACGAGCTTAAACCTTGATAACAATTTGCGAAAATATATAGAAAAATCGAGGCTGCCAAATTTATACATACTTAACTTAGTTTTTTTCGCGGCTCCGCTTGCAATGTACGTTGCGTCGATTAAAAAGGCTATGTCACTTAGAGATAGTATAACTAGTTTTACCAATATTGTAGTTCTAGATATTTTCCTCTACCTAATTTTACTAACGATTAAATCAGATTTGAAATAAAAAAAAACAGACAATTGCGAGTCTGACTCGCACACTGACGGTTCCGTAACATGAAACATTAAAATAAGTTTATAAGCACGTCATATAATCATATTTTTATTGAGATATAACTACAAGCACATATTATAAATTCCGAAATTTATGTGTGAGTTTGTTACTCCTTTAAGCTGTTGGTACGGATCAAAGCTTTATTGGATAGTGAAATTTGGAATGAAATAGCTTATACTGTAGATTACCACCTACCAAATAAGCGAAGCCGCGGGCAAAAATTAGTTATAAATATCGTTTAATAAGGAAAAATATTTAACGTAACCGCCTGCACTGTAATTTTCTATGGTAATAAATATATAATTGGTTTGAAGTGTAGAGGAAAAAATATAAAATTAACTTTCTGTTTTATAAATAGCAGTTATAATACAGACAATACAACCTTGCTTTGCTCTACCAAAATATACGAGGAGAAACACAGTGCCTACTCATAATTTCAATTTATAGAGTCTTCGACTTATATTTTCTTAATCGGGCTACTAGCTATACTAATATTATAAAGAGACAGAGTTTGTTTGTCTGTTTATTTGATCGCGCTAATCTCAGGAACTACTAATCGGATTTAAAAAATCTGTTTGCATTAGGTAGCCCGTTTATTGAAGAAGACTATATAAGGCAGAGTCCGAATCTATAGTTTTTAAAATTTTTGTCTGTCTGTCTGTTACCGCATCACGGAAAAACCACTGCACGGATTTTGATGAAACTTGGTATGATGATAGCTGGTAATCCGGGTCAACATATAGGATACTTTTTATTGCGGGAAAATATCTCATTTCTGAGAAAAAATACAAAAACTGCATTGTAAGAGTATACTAATATGTAAAACCTGAGAATTTGGTTTTTGGTCATATGAACGCAGGCGAAAGCTGTCGATAATAAAGACTATTTCAATAAATTTTTCAAAAAAAAAATATATATATATATATATATATAATGTACAGATTCGACTGAGTTAGAATTTTATTATTAAATAGTTAAACTTCCCGAACCTCGGACTAAAGCGTTATTAGAAGATAAAGTCTGAAGCAATTGCACTCTAATTTTCTTAGAAATAGAACATCCACGTCACATTATAACTTGGTACTTACTCTTCTTTTTATTTAACACTTATATACTATTGTAGCTTCAGTCCAAGAGCGTTGAAAACGAGTCACGAGGCCGCTGTAAGGGAAGACGTAATAAATAGAGGTACTTGTTTTTGGTAGGGTTTTATATGTATATGGTGGTGTAGTGGCTAGCATGTACAGCTTCGATTCCCGAGTTGAGCCAAGTTTAGTTATTGAGTATTTCTGTTTAGTAAGCCTCAACAACGACCCGGAATTGGGAAGTTGGTGATGCTTTAACGCCGTGCCTCGAAGAGCACTTGTTGTGTCGGTCCTGCACCTTAACTCTCACCGCGACTGTTGAGTAGTCGTCCCACCGGAGTATGAGAGTGACAGGAATAGAGAGTGCACTTGTGTCTGCGCGTACACGCGCTGCACTCACATAATGAGATTGGCGTCCGGAATCGATCATGGAGGACATCATTATTATTATTATTATTTTCATACCAACCAACTTCAGATGCAAACTAATTAAAGGGGTCTCAAAAATTGTAGAAACCGAAGATTGAAATATTTAATTGGAAACTTATTTCTAACATAATAACTGATCCCGTAGAAACTCTTTCTTTAATTAATAATAGTCTCACAATTGGTCTACTTATTTGCATGATTCATTAGGACAAATAAAAAACTAACATTTTAATCGCATTAATAAATTATGTCTAAATACCACAGACGACTTCAAATTTTAGTTATATGTGTGTATACTTCATCGTATAAAGTCAATTTGTTATTTTTTTGTATATTTTTACATAATTTAGTAACTATTAACACGGTACACATCGTTGTAAAATAAGAATGAATTCGGAATAGATTTGGTATAAACAGGTTGTTCAAAACAGGTTATCTAATTAAATACATAAAATGTTAAGATTAATTTAAATAAATTATACGAAGATATTTATGATCATGTCATCTCTTATATATTATAAAAAATATCAATGTGCGGTCTGTTTGTTGATATTTGCAAAGTAGTTTCTTATAATATTTAAATGCTATCATAAAATAATTTTTGAAGTACATTTTTTTTAATGTGCACAATGTTTTTGCCGACAAACTGACAGACCAATTTAAATAATTTCGCTAAGCATATAATAATCACTCCAGTGTGTTATTTCATAATAACATTATAAATGCGTTATTTCCGTGGGTCTTTTCGTCTACTTGTATATGAATGCTAAAATACTCTTACATGCCATTTTAAGACTCATATACAAGCAAAACACTTTAAAGTGTATATTATGCAATTTATGTACAAAGAAATAATGAAAGTAAATGTACATATAAATATGTACTTACCTATTTGACATAATTAAAAATGGAATTTTAATGATTTGTAGAAGAGAGACGTCCACTTGGAATTAAGGAAAGAATGCTAACTGCGTTTCCTATTCAACCGCAATACTGAGTGTTTTAATAAAGCACAATTTTCTCAAAAGCACATGGAATAAGCCTGTCTAAAATGAAAACATTAGCTATACCGTTGACTGCTCTAAAGATCGAATCGAATAACACAGACAGACAAAGACACATGATTTCCCCAGCGAGATCAAAATATTATGTGACCTATCCCCATTCCGATTTTTTTCCACATGCCTTTAGTCTCTAGTGTTAAGTCGTAACCAACAAACACACTCACAAATATCTGCATTTCAAATAGGTGATTTACATTTTTTCTTCTTACAAGTTAGGTTTTAAACGCTTATCTCAATAGAATAACACCACGAGTAGACCCCGCCCCGAGCGAGGTAAGCGTGGGCGGGCTTAGACAAAATTATCAGATCAGTTTAATTAAGCAGTTTAGAGATACTTCGAAAATTCTTGGTCAAAATAGTTGTTTGGTGATATTCGGTACGTAACAATGGACTAGATATTTGTAGTACTTTATTTGATGGGGCTTATGAAATTATTTTAAACTTTAATATTAAATAACTTTATGATTTCACTTGTCGAATTCACGTTAAAATTTAAGTGTCCATCTGCGATTTCAAAATAATTATGTTTTCTCAAGTATATAGAGTTATTTATATGATACCAATACATAACAACCTTTTTAAATTTTTGGTCTGTCTGTC